CACACACACACACACACACACACACACACACACACACACACACACACACACACACCACCACAGTCAGCAGCCCAGTGTGACATAATCCCATCCTAAAAGCCTGCAGTTTAATGCTCCACAGTGAGAGATCAGTGGTGTCCATTAGGGCGGCAGGTGGACAGATGGCTGTGTTCTCTCCTCGCCACAGCTTTAGCTCCATGTTGCTCTCATATCTTGACCTCTCACTTCATATGAAAACAAAACCAGACTGCTCCCTTCTCAACTTAGTAAATATACTTTATAAAATCATGAATGGGAGAGATGCACATGAGTGAGTTGTTCCCCTGTAAAGTTACAGACAAACTGGCTGTGAAACTGTAGTAGAAGCCGTCTGCTGCGCTTTTGTTTACTACGGGCTTAAGCCTATCTGGCACAGGGTCACATCCTGTCTAATCCCAGTATTACAACGCATACAGCAGCGTGGATGTGAGTCAGTCAGCAGATAAGTGTTTGCATAACTGTGATGTGAGTGACTCTCGTCCTATCTAATGTATTATCTAAAACACTGAAGCCAAAAGGTGAGACCCAGGACGGACTGAGGAAATGTGACCGGAGAGTTATTCATGTCTCATCACAATTCCCTTGTGGGGATAATAACTGGTTTGTGTGATTGTGCGATATATAGGCACAGTCTATTACCAGCCCTGCAATCTGAGCGTCGTGCTCCCAGATAATGAATATCTGCAGAACTTCTGTCTACTCTCCATCTCCGGTTGCCATGTGATTTGTGGCTCAGTTGACGTGCACTGATTCACTGAGGGAAAACCTTGTTCACTGTCGACAGCTCTAACTTCTTCTTCTTCATCTCTTCAAGTCTGACGTGGATCAAGTTTGATCTTTGGTGCCTCGAGTCATTTTTGTTTAAGATCTCAAAAACAGGTTTAGGTATTTCACACAAATTTGGTGGAATGTTAAACTTGGTCCTTAAAGCAATCACAGAAATAAAGATTTTCATGTGCTGATGAATATGATAACGCTATAAGGAAGCCACTAATGGAGGTGGTGTCGAAAACTATGTTCAGATGATGGATGGTTTTTGGTTGCATCTGGATCCATGTACAGGCTTAATACTGACTGCTCTTTCAATATGACCCACAGCATGAATCTGAAGCTATTATTGTTCACATCTTGAGTACATTTTAATACAGATCAAGAGCCTGATAAAAAACAACATTTTCCATTATTGTAATAATAAATTCAGAGCATCATGCAGCCTTGATGGAGGCTCCATCTGCATCACCATCCCCAAGGATGTCCAGTGGAGCATGACCACCCTGTGGCGTCAAATCTGGAGTCTAATGCACTCATGCATGTACATGAACATATAGAGATTCCTCCTCTTTCTGTCTCTGCCTCCATTTAACACACATAAAAACTGTCCATACATCTACATGTATGTAGACGTGACAGTAATTTAGCTGGAAAATATTTTTGATAGGATTTTCGTTCAAATTATTAGTCACGAAAAAAATG